ATTTATTTTTTTATGTGAAAGATAAATTCTATGTCAGGCTTCGAAATCCATCTTGTGTTTACATTACCGCCCAGTAAACTGCAGTACAAAAGATGCGTACACCTCTGAAATAACTTTCCCTGCATTATAATCTTGCGTATTATTATCTAGCGTCCTGACCCCCTTCCAAATGTAGTAAAAAAACGTTGATAAAATTTGTTTTTGATCGTGAAATGAGCAATGTCGCCAAGATTGAGCATTTTTGCTATTTCTGAGTCAAAATAAAAAAACTAGGGTTAATTAAAGGGACTGTTATCGTCATATAAAGTAAAACCTTTACCTAAATTCTGCCAATTACTTCTCAAAAGCTCAAGTTAAAAACAAATGATTTACAGCTCTAAATTGTCTAAGGCTACATACAAGTATAAGTGAGTTATAAAGGTATGATCAGAGGCAGAGACGTTGCGAACCATTAAAATCGACCCATTCTTGAAAATTCATTCATGCAACATTTAATAGCAGTCTGAATCTTTGTGCTTTCTGTGTTGTAAAGTGTTTAATTTTCAATAATTGTTACATAGTTTTATTGCAGCAGAAATGCGCAGACAACTCAAAAATAAAAATAAACAATTTTCATAAATAAAAAAAGGACATCTTATTTATACTAGATAAAAATTTTCAGGATACCGTTGTCTTGTAGATACAGCCAATCTCACATATATGAATACATAGCAAAAGCACATGAAATGTCGTCTTGAAATTTATTAAAATATGTATGACAGCTTTAATGCTTCATAATTGGTCTGCACAAAAAGAAAGCTGCTGAAATGAATGCAGCTTCAAAAGGGCTGAAAACGATTTATGAAAATATATCCAAATATCATTGTAAAGTCTTAAGTTTTTGATAATTCTTTAGAAGCTGCATTTTATTTCTAATTCAAGGTAAATTAATAACCCTGAAATATGAAGGACAGCAATCGATATATAAAACTCTATTTTTATGCGGCATTTGATCTTAAATAAGTTGAGAATACGACATTATAAAAACTCTTGCTATGTACTCATATATCTAGGATCACTGTATATAATAGGAAGGTAACTTATATTTATGTTTACAGTCCCTTTTAAGGGTTTTCATTTTTCAAGCATTTTTGCTGATCTACTTTGATCGTAAATTTTGAGAACACAATTTAATCTACTTCATAGCAATCCATTAATAATAATGGGAAAATGAATATTCCCTGATAATTAGTTTTTTTGAATACAAAACAACTTAAATTTTTTTCTGAAAAAATATTGCCATTCCTTTTAAAATAAACGACCCCACACAAATGAAGAGACTTAATGACGACCTTAGACATGTAGTAAACACCTACTTCATAACAATTTCTCAAGATGTATCTATCCAGGTTCAATCTGTCTACTATTAAAGTCAAACAGGACACGATCCACACGGCTACAATCCCGTGACCAATCAACGCCACAACACTACACAGGGCGCAATCTTGTTAGCTATCGATGTCAATACAGACACTAGCAATCAATAGATTAATACCATTACTCCAAGCACAATCTCCGCTTGTATGTTTCAATGAGAACTATATTACTTCTAATACGCTAATCAAAGTAGAGTCTCAATCGACTAAGGTTTATTTGCAGTTTATATGAGAAATTGGTCATTAACAGCGTAATTACAAGTTATGTGCTGTTATATCTATAATGTAGTTAGCAATTACAATATTGGTATGACGGAAGGGCACAACAGAAGTGGTTTAACTAAGTCTACAGTCTACACCTAACCGAAGTGCCTGGTGGTGCAAATGCCCAGGTTAATCATAGTTTCTCCCACCACTCCGTTTACCCCGACTCGGTTTTAAATAATGAGTTTAGCAGGAGTGCCTGGCATTGCCTGTGAAATTTCGAAAACTTCTAATAAAAAGAATTGACTTATGTCACACCCATAGGTTCCCTTTAAAATGTTAATCACTTTGGTCCAGCCGTTTGGCCGGCTATAGTGAAGATATAAAAGAGTAAAGAGCCTTATTTTAGATAAATATACACCCCCCTTTCACTTTTCCTAACCACTCCCTTAAAAATGTTTTTGGGACCCATGGAGTAAATAATGAATGAAATTTATTTCAAAACCATAGATAAAATAAAATAGAACCTCGTTTTTTAAAATTCATAATGACCTACAGTGAAACCCTTAATAACGAATACATCGAAAGAATTCATCAAATGTCGTATTCTTCACTTTCTGATAATGGAATGTTGCAGATATTTAGTTTTTTTAATTAAATGATTATATGGAACTCTTTAAAACTGTTCCCGCGTGGCTATTTATTTATTTTCGCAAATACTGAAATTTACGTAATATAGTATAAAACTCATTAAAAAATTGTCAAGACGACATTTGCTAAGTTCTTCCGATGTCTTCGTTATTAAGGGTTTAACTGTACAAGGAAAAAAGTACGTTTTAAAGCTTTTAAGTTTTTAAGATGAGTTTGAGTTTGTTTGCACAATGAATGTGACTAAGGCAGGCATTGCTTTTGAAATGACGGAGAAATTAACTGAATTTAACGCTTCTCAAGCCAAAAAAAAGACTTTATATCCCTCAATATTGATCAGATTACAGTTTCAAGGCTAACGTTGTAGATCATGCAAAATGTGAAAGTGAATCTTTTTCCTCCTTTCTCCACCTGCATCTCATTTTTTATTATTACTTTTTGCCTGTAAAGTTTAGGGCTTTATATTAATGAAATATAACAAACCGCTGCCTCTTTTGAGAAATTTGTAAGTGTAATGTGATCACTGATATATGTCTCCAAAATTTATTTGCTTTTTGTTGCCATTATTCTTTCTGAACTGCACCTTTGTATCCAAATATCTGAGTAGGAATAGATGAGAAAAGGGGGGACATATTGGGTGACAGTCCCTTTAACAAAGGGCAGGAGTCCAAACACATAGATTCAGCCAGTTTATAAATAGTCTCATCAATTTTTACGCCAGGGTGGACTTTGAAGTATTGCCTTGGGCTTAGATTTTAACGCTCCAACTTTCTTGCTTACCTTAGCACTATATAAAGCACTTGTTCTTTAATTAATTGGCAAAAATCTCATCGATTTAAAATTGAGATCCTGAGACCTTTAAAAACCAGTAAAAAGGAGTTACGCGCATAGAGAGCCTGTTCCAGTTGAGGCGCTTGGCCCCCTATCCTGTCCTAGCCGTGCAGCGCTCATCCCCTGGCCGCAGATCTCGGTTTTAACCTAACCTAACCCCAAAATAAATGCTAAGCTCTCTCGTTCCTGTAATTCAACGCGGCAAGTGCATGTGACTCCTTTAGGCAACTGCTCAAAAAAACCATTGCATTTTAAACTGTTTGAATCCATTATGCAAAGATAGTGAGTGTGACGTTTACATCTAGCTTTATCCACGTAAAAGGTTTCTATAAAATATTTCGCACATAAATTATTCAAGCAACCTCGATAAACGTGGAATTTAATTTGTTTTATATCAGCGATCGATTATTCAATCGTCAGAATAAATGGTTTACATTAATTATACTTTCATCACATGCCTGCCTTTCCCAGATCTAATTGAGAATGAAAAACTCAAATGCGATTACTCTGTACTATGCTCCATTCTCTTTTACAATTACTCTGTACTATGCTCCATTCTCTTTTTCAATTACTCTGTAGAGTTTACACATGCTCCATTCTCTTTTACGATTACTCTGTATAGTTTACACATGCTCCAGTCTCTTTTACAATTACTCTGTAGAGTTTACACATGCTCCATTCTCTTATACAATTACTCTGTATAGTTTGCACATGCTCCATTCTCTTTTATAATTACTCTGTAGAGTTTCCACATGCTCCAATCTCTTTTACAATTACTCTGTAGAGTTTACACATGCTCCAGTCTCTTTTACAATTACTCTGTATAGTTTACACTTGCTCCATTCTCTTTTACCATTACTCTGTAGAGAATTTACACATGCTCCATTCTCTTTTACAATTACGAATACATTAAAAATGATGAAAACCTTGATTACTTATTACGTAATAATAATACAAAATAACAATATATATTATATATTATATCATATATAACATATAAGTAAAAAACATAAGAAAAAATGTGTTACAGAATTGGGGATTTAATAAAAATTCAATACCTCATAAATCATCAACGATTACTCTTCATTTTGTAGTATTTCAGTACCGGAGTATTAAAATATATATCATCCTCTGTATTTCATCACCATTTCAGTAAGTTAAAAAAGAAGAATGTTTTGAATTTTTTTGTCACATTTAATTCAATACTAGAAATATTCTTAACAGAAAATAATATTTTGAATAAACGACTAGTTTCAAACCTTATAATGAACGTTAGATATACTTGGAATTCGGATCAGTAAAGATAGAGCTAAGCGTTCAATTCTTTTGGCAAAATTAAATTCTTGCAAATTTATTAGATACTGGATTTTTTCAATATCGAATTTGGAAAAAAAATATTTTTTCGAAAGACAAAAATGTTGATTTTTTTAGCCCATGTCAGCCCATTCTTGTTCACTCTTCATTGACCATAGTTCAACTATTTCTTGTTATTTATTGGTTCCGACCTACGATGTCTACTGTTTTGTCCCTCTAAATTTGTTGTCGATGATCATGCATGATAAAATATCAATGCTGTATTTTGTTGACTTTTGACAATTAGAAAAATTTGTTTTATTGGTTTTTAACATCTAATGTTTTTCCAGGCCCTCCACGGGCCAAAACATTAGTCAGAAAATGTTCTAGGAACTAGGCCTCGCCAAGAGGCCTAACCTCTACCCTCCCTCCCCCCCCATCCTCCTTACCTCTCTGTCTCTTCCCACAGTCCTCGGTTAAGTTTTTCAGAAATCCCGGGATCCCTGGCCTCTCATTGGTCGGATCCTCAGGCAGTTCTGGTTTTTCATTGGTTGGATCTAGATTCACCGGGCCTTACCTGCTTTAATATATAAAAGGGGAGACGGACAATTTTCTTGACAGTCTTGAGTTGAAAGTTGAAAAGAAAAGACTAGTTTAAATTCTAAACAATTTATATTCACAGCTTTTCGTGTTTTTTAAGTAAACAGTGTTTTGTAGTACAGTATAAAAAACATTAACATACTAACAATAATGAAGTTTCTGTACATAATCTTATGTACAGTTGCGTGCAGCAATGCCGCGTCTAAAGCTAAAGAAGAAGAGAAACTCCGGGAACAAATCGTACATGATCTAGGCCTTTCACGGATTCCTGATGTACATAAGGTAATTTTAGTCTTACTAAAAGAATAAGTTTTTTAAAAAGCGAAACAAAATTCAAATATGCAAAAGTAAATTTGGTTTAATTTCTAATTTTTTAAGTACTCGAATAAAATTTCGACTTATTTGTTACCTATGAAATATCATGCTATTATATAGACTATTTTGATGGTTAATATGCAGTATGAACTTAGAACTTATGTACTTTGATCAGTCTAACATGCCCCCCCTCTAAAACTTTAGACAACTAGACTTTAGACAACTAGACTTTAGACAACTAGACTTTAGACAACAAGACTTTAGACAACTAGACTTTAGCTATCTATATATCTATCCATTTATCTATCTATATATCTATCCATTTATCTATCTATTTATCTATCCATTTATCTATCTATATATCTATCCATCTATCTATCTATTTATCTATCACCTATTCATCTATCTGTTTTTTTGTTTATCTATCTATCTATCCATCCCTTTAACCCGGATATATATCCCGGGTTTCCCAGCTGAACGTAATTTTATTATTCTCAGTTAGACCACAAATATACAAATATATAAATTAGAAAACATAAAATATAAAAGTACGCTTAAATACTTGGGATGTCATTAGAAGTTATGCAATTTCAATAAATAAAACTTTAGATTTTAAGAATTCTTTAATTATTTAATTACAAATTGGGAATATAATTTGAAGATGCTTAAAATGCTCGAAACAGCGGATTTGTCAAAAATCCGAGGTTTTTTATTTCGCAGATTTTGTGGATTTGTTGTTTAACTGTTTATGTTTAGGCAAATGTATCTGCTGAGGAGTACGCCTTGAAGTTGGATATCTACAGACGAAGTATGGAGCAGACCAATGCTATTCGGGAGCTCCAGGATCATTTCATGGAGCATCTTGAATCCACAGCTCCCTCCTCAAGTACACTGCTTTATACAGGTATGTTGCACGTCAAAATGAAGTAAATTTCAAGATTGAAATCTGAGATGCCTTCAATATCTCCACTTATTGAAAAGATTAAAATGTTTAAACTTTGTGTGTAAGCAGAAACCTTTTCTCACACTTGTGCGCAAAATCAAAAGTAGAGGAGCTACCAGGTCACAAAGTCGTACAAGCAATTTTGCATAAATATTCCTTATTCCTATATTATAGTGGTTGGGTTGTTCCTTTATATTTGACACAAACCAAAAGCCTGTAATTTTTAAGCTGCCAATGATTGTTTTTTACTTAACTTATAATTTTTTTATGGCTAGGTCTAAGACGAGGCAAGAGAAGTCTTCACAACTCCGTGATTCTCAAGTTCGACCTAGTTGATCTCCAGGCAAACACTGGTGCAGTGTTTGTGACCTCAGCCCGCCTAACGGTCAACCTCCGTCAGGTTAAAGACGGATCCTTTCCTGGCCTTCTAGAGGATCAGGTCTGTGCTATTCAGCTGGTTAAAGAAGAGGAGGGCCTTCAGCTGGACTGTTCAACAAGCCAAGAATCTGATGAGGAGATGGTTGTCGTTCTTGACGTGACTCATGCTCTCCAGGCGTGGATGATCGATCCCACAACAGATCTTGGTATTTTGATCAGAGCTGTTGGATGGGAGATAGAGGGGGAGCCTGCAGTAGCAGTTGAGTATGTTGTTGGAGATACACCACGTGTTAAACGCGATCTTTACCGAAGTACCGAGTTTGATGTCGTCAGCAAATCTAAGACAGACTGCAAGAGCGGAAGCCGGGGGCGATGCTGTCGTCAAAGCATGCCAGTCGATCTACGACAGCTAAAGGGGTTCGAGTTCATTATGCAGCCAGATGTATTTGATGCTTATTACTGCAAGGGGAAATGTCACTCCCGGGACCTTGCTTTGAACGACCACTCGCTTCTTCAGTACTTCATGCACCTGCGGGATTCTAAGGTGAAAAAGCCCTGCTGCTCACCCCGAAAATACGAATCCCGGGACATATTGCATCTAGATGAAATGGACTCCACGCGGTTAAAAGTAACTAATTGGAAGAATATAATTGTGCGGGAATGCGCATGCGCATAAGCGCGCCACTTGCAGCTTGCGCAAAAATATTTAATGCCGCAAATTAAATCCAAATTCATTTAGAGAAGAAACCTATACTGTACCAATATATTGTATCTAGTCTGAAGCCAAGAAGGGCTTGATCTCAGTGATATTTTTTTTGAATGTTTAATGTTTGTACCACATTAAACGTATTTTTGTGCACGTCAGGCGTGTTTTTTGATACCCTAGCATTTATATACACATCAAAACTTTTCGAAAATTTTAGAATTTGAAAATATTTACAACTTTTTAAATTTGAATTAAAAAACATTTACATTTAGACTAGGCTCGAATTTTTATCAAAGGAATTCAATTTTCGAATTCTGTGCTTTCAGAACGGTTGTACGCGTACTGCACTGTAACTTTGTCAAAACATAATTCCTTCCGTGAAAAAAAAACACACACATTTACAGAGTATTTACATATATATATATATATATATTGTTATTGTTATTATTTGTTTTTTAATGTCTGTAATTTGTGAAGATTTGGACTTAATGAGCCGTTTATAAAGCTCTTTTTATATATAAAGTTTTGTCGTTTTTGACGTTTTTATCTTTCATGGATTTTGTCGGACTTTTCTGACGCATTTACAACTCCTATACGGAAAATATTTATAAGATTTATAAAATATCTTTGAAAATTTTAATCGAAAAATTAGAAAATTTATCTGAGCGGAAAAACATAAAAAAAAACTACTTATCCCTAGCTCGGCTTTCACTATAATGCTGTGATGTGACAGACCAAAATATTTGTAAGTTTGTCATTAATATGAATATATGTATTGTGATTGTAAAAATTGTATTACTTTTTATTCTGCACTTAAATTGGCTGGATAATACTTTTTTTACATAAAAACTTGGAGAGTTTTCAATTGAAAACGAAGAATATTTTTGCAGGCAATTGGCATATACTTCTTTTCCAATATTTTATTAGACTTTAACCAATTGGAAAAACATCATCTTCAAAAACATGAGAAACTATAATGATCTATTCTGTGTTACTTTAGAGTAACGGCTGTGAAAGACCCATCTCCCAAATGAATAAAAATTATATACACACACATATATATATATAATTTATAATTTATATTCGTGAAAAAATTACACTTAAAACGTTGTATTCTGGAAATATACATATTTGTAATTCGATTTAATCATTTCTAAAACGCAAGAGAGAGGGAAGAGAAAAACGCAAACAAAAGTATAGAATTATTTTCAATCGAGTATGTTGAAGGTCTTCTCTAAAATACACATTAAAAGATTAAAAAAACATTAAAAAAATGCATGTTTGTTGGAGTTTTGATCAATAATCTTGTTCGTCATCATAGCTGACATTTTTGAACGCGCCTCTGACCCTTTAGTAAAAGTAAATTCATCCTGATGTCTGACCGCGTCAACTTTGTTAAACCGGCTAGTCCATATTGAGTGTCTGCTTTATTAACCCAATGTCCGGGCGACACAGTACAAACTGGGACCAGAAAGGTTGACCCGGCTCGGAAATTCAAATGTGCTGTACGTCTGCCCGTGGAATACAAGAACACATTGCTTTATTGTTCACATCTGATTTACAATTTTTAATGACTACGATAATCATATTTTTAAATTTAAGTTTAGTAAATTGTGAGACAATTTCATTTTGTTGGGGGCGGCCCGGGGAGGGTTGAGGATAATTCTGTTTTGGTGGTAGGCAATTTTACATTTGATGATGAGCAACAGTTTTCATTTTTATATAAATGTTTAAACCCGATCCTTAAGAAAAAGTATATATATGCTATTTTCAGCAGTTTCTTCAGTTATTGCCCTGCAAAGTATATAATAAATTATATATAATATATAATATATATATAACAAAAACCAACTTTTTTTTAGTTTTGTTAGATAAATTGATTGTATTAGCTTAGTGATATTATAAAATTAAGCGTCAATGAAAAAAGGTCTCATGGAAACCATAGAAAACCAACACTAGGATTTATAATTTATTTAAATATCTCTACATAATAAAGCTCTTCTCTAATATATATATATAAATATATATATGTTAGCTAATAAACAATTTTCTCCTTATTGATGCAACAGATAGAAGTAAGATTAATAGCAATTACCAGCGAAAATTATTCGACGCAAGCCTATACCCCCTGTCATTTTTCACGAACACTCCCTTCAAGAATGTTTTATAAATTGTACATGTCCCTCTTATAAAATTTAAACGAGAGGTCCTTTAAAGAGAATAAAATGCAAAAAAAATCTTTTGTAAACAAAAATGTATATTTTCAGGTAAAATAAGTTCTTCATTCTTTTTGAAAAAAAAAAACGCTAAATAATTTTCTTTCAGTTGTTTAAAGTTTTAACTTTTAACTGCAAAGTTCAATAAAACTTTTGCAAAATCTATAAAACAATGTTAGTTTTAGCTCAATTCAAACCGGAAATATCAAGAACCAGATTTTTTTGGCCGGTAGAAACCAGAAAAAAAAATTGACACGGAAAAAGAAAAGTTTAATGTACTGAAATTATTTTATACTTTTGTCTTCATTAATCCTTTTACTTCTAAGAAATATATTTCCACGATTTAGAGTCGCACATCTCCCCCCCCCCCCCCAACACAATCACACATGAATGATGTCTTAGCCCTGGATTTTTTAGTTTTGACCTCCTCCCACTGCAGTACACTGAGTTGGCGAATTGGATATTACCAAAGAGAATATAGAATATATATTAGAGTGGAACTTACTAGAGAATAGTGTAAAACGGCCATTTTAATGTACTGTAACTGTATTGCAATCTTTTGGGCCCTGGAACATCATTTCATAGAAAATCTCAAATTAATATTAAAATATTAAAAGAACACCAAATTATGAAATAGGCTGGTTTCATAATTGACCAATGATCATTTCAGATAGACTCTATGCCTTTCACTTTACAAACGATGATTTTCCGTTATAACTATAAATCAAATGATGTTTTTTATTCACCAAATTCATTTTATAAAGTTTATTTAACAGCTTTAAAAAATTCGAAATTGAAATGGATAGTCTAGGGAACTTACTGTATTAATGTATTCTACTGCATATAATTTGTGAACATTTACATAATTTGTACACTTTGAACTCCCTTTCAGGCTGAAAGGGACTGAAAAAATTCATACCGAGGGATTGTCTAAATTCCACTCTACTATATATAGTATTCTCTTTAGATATTACAGTTCCTGGCCAATATATATTTCTTGATGTGCTTTTCATTTTTTCCTATCATACTTTTTTGCAGGCATACGCACCGTGGATATAACGATTCTGTCAATATTCCAAAAAGCTGTAACTTTCGACCACAATTCGACCCATTAAACATAAGTTTTTAGTCTTTTTTCTTAAATACTTTTCTGTCGGCATATGCATTTTGAAGGAAAGAGAATTGTTGAATTGTAGACCAAAACACGCTTGATTTCAAAGAAGAAACCAAATGCTCCTCACTCTGGTTAGTCCGGGGTGACGCATTTTATAAAAGTATAAAATGACAAAATCGTAAGTTTAAAGATTGTAGAATTAAAAACCAACACGTGATTGATTTCGAATAGAAGAAACCGAATGCATCTCGCCCTGGTGAGTTCGGGGTGTACATCTCTGCCTAAAAATCGGTACAGTACTTCAAATGAACGGGAGTATCGGTACAGTACTTCAAATGAACGGGAGTATCGGTACAGTACTTCAAATGAACGGGAGTATCGGTACAGTACTTCAAATGAACGGGAGTTTACAATTGCTATCCGGCTCTCCTAAGTTATGTTTTCATTGGTTTTATCCTATCACAACGAACAGGGGAAGGCAGGCGGCCATGAGCCACCACTATTTCCCCTTCCATGCCACGTATTAGCTTATTTATCTTCAGGCAGCCATGAGCCACCACTATTTCCTCTTCCGGGCCACCACATTTAACTCTTCCAGGCAAAACTAATTTTTTAAATGGTATATGGCCTTTAACATGTGAATTTCAAAAATCCAACCGTATCACATAAAAACGTATTTTTAAATCTTAATATTTACGTGTTAATTTAATAAAAGGATGATTCCTCTTAAAGGGAGTGTTCGCAAAAAATGAAAGGGGGTATAGGCTTAATGCGATAAAAAAGCACTTTTGATTGCTGCTAATCTTACTTCTATCAGTTGTGTCTATAAGGAGAAAATCGTTAAAGACATCTCATACCGAATAACTTAGCATCCATACAAATTGCGAAAATTGCAACATACGACTTAGACCGTAAAAAAATCAATTTAATTTCAAACAAATCATTCAGATGTTACAACCTATAGTCATCGATTATCTTTTGCCACATTTGTATATAGTTTATATTTTATAATATTTTTTGATTAATTTGTTTTGAATTTGATTATTTCTCTTGTTGCTTGCGCAACTATCTAAGAATGCCGTGCACCACTCACATTTTTTGAAATCCTTTAAAAACGTTTTCTAAAATAATGAAATATAATGAATCTAATGTAAAATTGAAAAAATGGTTTGAGTGGCGCTTTTTTGCCTTACGCGGCTGGATTTTTGAAAATCACACTTTAAAGGCCCTAAATATACAATATAAAAAGATAGTTTTGCCCGGAAGAGTCAAATGTCTTGGCCCGGAAGGGGAACGCGTGGTGGTTCATAGCTGCCGAAAGAGAAAAAAACTAATGTGGCACAGAAGAGGAAATAGTGGTGGCTCATGGCCGCCTGTCCTCCCCCACTCATACAACAAATTAGCTGGGGTTTCCACTTCATAGGGAAGGAAGGGGGGGGCGTTAAGAAAAAGGAGGGAGGAGGGGGGTGTATAGATGTACTATTCTATGAGACTGCAAATATTAAATGAATCAGCATAAGTAACACAACCAATAACATCTCTGATGTTATGGAACTACATACAAACTCTAATCTTATAATCATTATATCTGTGCAACCTGATATTGCATACTTCTGATATTTAATTATGTTAGATGCATTACTTAATTTTGGAAATATCAAAGATTTATCAATTAAAAAATTTAAAGAATTTTTTGTTGTCACTCTTCCATCTATTATAAGCCTTCCTTAATCCTGTTAAAACTGAATTAATGTACCGGGTGTCCCACGAAACATAACAGTAGCAAGAAGATTTGAAAGTCGTATTTACAGTTTAATTTTTTTGTGACATTCAGTCGTCAACCAACTTTCGCATGTTTGATTCTTGAAACAATAACCACAAAATTCTCTTATCCTGGTGTTTCCAAAATGTGGTCTGTCTTTTTAATGCTGTCAATATTACCGGAGATATTGAGATTTTCGTTCAGATTTCAATTTTATTAAATAAAACCGAAATTTTCAAAATCTGAACGAAATTCTTCACATTTCCTGTAATAAATTGAAAACACAAAAAAGGCAGATCACATTTTGGAAATGCCAAGACTAGAGATATTCAGTAATTATAACCTCGAGAATTTTACTTCTAAACTTAGGTTTACAAATAAATGTATCAAATTATTTCAAGGATCAAAGACGACCTTCAACTCGTCTTGCTAGGCTACTGTCATGTTTCGTGGGACACCCTGTATATAATTGTAACCTAAATTGTAAAAAGTAAACAGGGAAAAATCTCAAATACAAATAATATTATTCGTGTTGATACCAAACTTTACTTTTATACAGAGCGTCCCATATCATATTAGATTATCTCCAATCTTTAACGTTAAAATTCGCACATAATACTCGAAAAATCTAGCATTTTCTGCAAAAAAAAAATTCTTTTAGCCTTCTTAAATTTTTCAAAATGATTAATTCTTCCTAAATTTTCTAATTTGTCCCCCAAATCGTAATTTAGACCCATTGACACGGTCTAATTTGATGTGGGACACCCTGTAATATACAGCACATACACATTCACTAGAAGGGTATCACCGTCCCGTCCCGTACTTTTACTGTACAACTTGCTCTAGGGGCTTAACATTCTGACTGGTACTTTACAGTGATAGTGGAGACCAAGGTTCTAATCCAAGGAAAGTTATTTCAGAGGTGTACGCATCTTTTGTATTGCAGTGTACTATCTCTGGGCGGCAATTTAAACACAAGACGGATGTCGAAGCCTGACATAGAAAATCAATGAAATATTCTGGTCATAGGAAACTATTATGTAAATTATC